TGCCCAGCTACCACCAATGACCGCCCTGACAGGGAACACAACCGACAGTCCCTGATGGAGCAGGAGAAAGGTGGGGTACAGAACTCAAATTCTAGTAAAAAGACCAGACTTAATGGTCTGACTGAGACTGGAGGAACCCCGGAAAGCATGGGCCCTGGATTCTCCATCCGCCCAGAGCTAAAAAATTTCTGAGGCCAACTCTTCAGACAAAGATTGGACTGGACTGTGGGACATAAAATGATACTTATGAAGAGTGTGCTTCTTAGCTCAAGTAGATACATGAGACTAAACAGGCAGCTTCTGTCCGGAGGTGAGATGAGAAGGCAGAGAGGGTTATAGTGTGCTGTCCCAGTATAGGGAGAGCAATTAGGGTCTCATAATAATGTATGTATAAATTTTTGTATAAGATACTAACTTGAAATGTAAACTTTCACTTAAACTACAACAATAAACAAAGTGCTAAGTTCAAAAAAAAAAAAAAAAAAAAGAAGAGTCAGGCTGTGGTGTTAGCTGTTGAGATTTTAAGTCCCAGGAGTACAAGAGGAGCAGCTCCCTTTGGCTGGCAGCTCTGCTCTCATCCCTTTCTGCAACCCCACAACAGCTTCCACCACCTGGGCCTCAGCTATCTAGGCACTTTGTGATCTCAGCTTTGCTATCCTTTCCAGGGTGCCACATCCTCTCCCAAGCTTCTTTAAAGCTTTAACCAACTTTCCCCCACTTCCTGCCTTTATTCCTACAGTTCCTTCTGAAACGCTTTCCCTGCATACATCTGATTCCTACCCAATTACCCAACCCAGTTCAGATTCATCCTCCTCCTTGAAGCGTTACAGATCACCACATGCTGGAAGTGACCAGTCCCTCCCCTGAGTGGCCACAGCACTTTGCCTGTTCCCCTCTGGCACTGAGCATTTGATCCTCTGTCACTAGGATGAACTCCTTGAGGGCAGAGACTGGTCTGATTCAGTTCCTCTGTTTTCCCCTACAGTGCCTTGCTCTTATCGGGCACTAAGAACAAAGTGTAGCTGTCACCATCCCAAATAAGGTAAGCTAGAACGGAGGAAATCCAGCAATGGTATTAGTTTCTTGAGAACAGAGGAGCCTGTTTACTTCAGATCATATGTCCAGGCACCTGCCAATTCCAGATATCCTGTAGGGGTAACTGAGCAGGTGAAAACAAACCCCCTCCCCACACCCATCAAGGTAAAGAGAAAATCATACAAAAATAACCTGCCCTTTACCAGTGCACAGCCTTCTAGCCCCTGCCCTCCCCAGCTCCCCAGCTTGTTCACACCCTTTCACCCTCATAAGAATCACTACCCTGTAGGACAAGTATGGATCCTGACATGAGAAAGTTGAGGTGAGGGATCTAGAACTTTTCTCCAAAGAGAAAAGGCCCTGAGTGCCAAGGTGGAGCTGCTCTCAATTCCAGGAAGCATTTCATAGTCCAGAGGCCACACCCAGTGCAACTACTGTGAGGACCTTTTCCTTCCAATTGTCATCTTTGGTCTGGGCCACAAGTGCCATTCTACTCTCCCCATCATTTCTACCCCCAAACCTCCTCTCTCTCATTCAACATTCTGTCAATACATTTATTGACTGCCCCCACACACATTCATAAATACCCTGCCCTAGGAAAACTTTTATTATTTTTCCTTCGGACAGTTAGGTCAAGCACAGCACTTCACACACATCATGGGAAAGGACTTCACATCTTCAGCACATCTGCGGTCTAGCTTAGAGCTTTTGTCTCTCTGCCTCCTCCCTAAGGCTTCAGCCTGACACCTTGAATCTGGTGGGTGCTTCTTCCCACAGCCAGAGAAGCTGGGCAAATAAACAATTGGAAACAGCAGAGGGGGAGAAAGGGCAGGAAGCTTGGGAGGGATTCAGCCCAGCCCAGGAGAAAGGTTTGTTAGAGGGTGGGCTGGAAAAGTGTAAGTCTACAGAGTTGTCCAGGGCGTCTGGACCCCAGACCTAGCTCTCCCAGCCTCTCAGGCCCCTGAAGGACACAAGAGATGATTTTTAAAAAACCACTAACAGGGATGGCATTTTGTCACCTGTTAGTGTCCACCCTCACCTCTCACCATGGAGCCCATCGTCCACCAGCCTAGAAGAGCTCTGGATAGTGCTGGAAGCTCACAGGGGGCATCTGAACCCTCCTGGAGAAGAACCCAGGGCAGAGCTCACACCCCGGCCCATAGCACCAGGTTGGTGGATCTACTATTGGACCCCGACTACCCACGCGTTTCTGACCTCCTACAGTAAGGATAAGGAGCCCTTGTGGTGCAGTGGTTAAGTGCTGGGCTGCTAACCGAACAGTCTCCAGTTCGAACCCATCAGTGAATACACGGGAGAAAGATGGAGCAGTCTGCTTCTGTAAAGATTTACAGTCTCAGAAACCCTAAAGGGCAGTTCTACTTAGTCCTATAGGGTCTCTATGAGTCAGAATCGACTCGATTTGACAGCAACAGGTTTTTTTTGGACAATGGGGATAGGAGTAGGACCACCTGCCTGTGTGGGTCACTAGGTGGCAAATGAGGTCCTCACTGTGGTGGAAGCAAGTACCACAACAGCTGCAGGCGAAGGGTCACTTCCCAGAGTGCCAGGTTGAAAGTATTAACAAAGTAGCAACTGTACTAGGGTCAAGGATGAGGGTGCTAGGTGCTGAAGCTAGCTGTAGACCCAAGGCTTGAAAGCTTGGCTACAGGGAGCTGTGGCAGGAGACTCAGAGACCAGGTGAGCATCTCTTACCCCAGGTACTTGTGACGACTCCCAAATAGACTCCTTTTGCTGGTCCCTTCCAAATATTTCATTTTGGAAACATGGCAGATCCAAACCTCCCCTCTGGCCCTGTCAACTCCCAAGACCTACCTCATGCTCAGGCAACAGAATCAACCCTCTGGGGACTCCTCCTCTATTGGCCCCCAGACTGGGTTGGCCAACCGAGGGGCTCACCAAGCAGGGACATTCCCACCCACGCCAGGACCAGCCAGAGGAGATGTCCTTAAACAGAACAACTGTTGCAGGCCCAGAGACCTGAGGACAGAAAAGGTGAACTGCCTTCATCCTAAACTTGAATCCGCACACTGCCACTGACCTAGAGTTTGGATGATTCTTACAGTGTGGCCTGATCATGGTACCACTGGATGTCTCAAATCCAATTCAGTGAGAATGAGAAGGTCAAAATCCTGGCTCCAGTGGGTATCATAAATTTAGGTCAGCAAAAATTAGCAGCACTAGCCACAAGGAATATATTGATGGTGTTTCTTGCTAAACAAAACATTTATCCCTCCATTGCCCCATTTCTCACCTTTCTGACTTTCTCTCAAGCCTCCTCTCTCCTTGGAGATCTTGACCATCTTGTTCTACCCAGGAGAAAAGGGCTAGTTTGGGGCCTGGGAATCCTGAGGAAGAACACTGATCACTCAAGAAACATTTCCTAAGACTACCTATGCATTCATTTAATAAAAAAGTATTGGGCATCTCTTGTGTGCCAGGCATTGTTATAGATTTTAGAGACGTTGGTGAACCAAGATAAACTTCCTGCCCTAAACTTACACTGAGCTGGGGTGGGGGGTGGGGTGGAGGGAAATACCAGGTACAGATTCTGCTGGTACAGTGAGCACCCACCTCCACTTTATAGACCTCAGGTCTGTAGAGAGAGATATAGACACAGAGCGGCAGCTCTGAGGAGACTTCTAGCATGGAGTAGGAGAGCTCCAGGAGGAATTTCTTGGAGATAGCATTTGAGAAGGACATTGAAGGAAGGGTTAGATTTGGAGGTGCAGCTTGTACAAAGCCGAACAGCAAGAGCAAAGGCTCAAAGGCTTGTTAAGCTAGAGGCAGGTCCAGAGAACCAAGATTCCATTTCAGTTGGAGCCAAATTTCTCACCTGTGGGGAATGATCTGGTTTGAACTAGAGGAGGTCATTGTGCGATGGGTTGTGGAATAGGCTGTGGAAGAACAAATTCTTACTCAGGAGTAGAAAAGAAATGAGTTTCATTGAGGAATAGAGCAACTGCAGTCAGGGAGCATGAAGCAAAAATGCTAAATGCTTCAAAGTACAGGAGTTGAGGGAAAACTATTCATATATGAAAATTTAAGGAAACGGTAACCACAAGTCACCTAACAGTTAATCTACAGACATCCTGGAGCCAGTCTGCGCAAGTATTTTGTGAAAGTGGTTCTGCCTGTCTTTTAAGGACAAGGGCAGTTTGCACGAAAACATTTCCTTCTGTGAACAGCTAGTTTTGCCCCTCTCCCCTCATTCCCTCAGAGAAGAGCCCATTAACCCGTTACTGTGAGCTCAGCCTGAATGCTTCTCATGTTAGGGGTCTGCTAACAAGGCTCTGAACGTATTCAGATAGAAGGTTCTGGGGAGCACCTGGAGGTTTTTGGCCGGCAGGCTCAGTTATGAACTTCTGTTGGGCTTATCTGCAGGGATCCACAGGAAGCGGAGTCATCCTGGAGCGAGAGTGGGGGCGAGTGAGACACTCGGCCCTGCCCACCCACCTACTCCCTTCCCCTTTCAGAAATCCGGATGGCTGGTACGTCACCGAACTAGCGCGGGGACCGTAGGTATCTCCGCATCACGTCCCGGCACAGAGCCTTCTGCGCGGGCCGCAGACGCGCGGGCGGAACCCCTCGTAGGGGAGGGAGCACACGGTTCCGTCCGCGAAGGTCACCGCCGTGGGCCACTTTCCCTTCCTCCGCCCGGCCCGGCCTCCCGGGTACGTCTGTGGGAGTGGGGTTAGGACTGGCGCCATGGGCTTCCCTCCTCCGGGAAGGGACACTTTGGACTCGGCCTCGAAGCCTCAGTGATGGAAAGTAGTTTCGGGGGGCGTCACTGTAGGACGGCAGGCTGGAAGAGGCCGGCCCCCAGCACTCAGCGGTCCCCCAGGGCCCAGAAAAAAATGCGAGAAATGCCCTTGGAAAAGAAGACGGTACTCTAGCTTCATTCCATTTTAGAGAAAGGAGTCTTGGTGGCGCAGTGGTTAAGCAGTGGGATGCTGAGAGGTCCGTGATTCGAACCCATTAGCTGCTCTGGGAGAAAGATGAAGGGAGTCGGCTTCGTAAAGATTGTTGTGTGCCGTAGAGTTGATTCTGACTCATAGCGACCCTATATGACAGAGTAGAGCTGCCACATAGGGTTTTCAAGGCTGTAATCTTTTATAGGAGCAGTTCACCAGGTCTTTTCTCCCGTAGTTGCTGGTGGGTCCCAACTGTAGACTTTTGGTTAGTAGCCACAGCCTTGGAAACCCCTTGGGGCAGCTCTATTGGGCCCTATAGCGTCACTACGAGTCAGAATGGACTCCACGGCAACGGTTTTTTTCTTTTCTTTTCTTTTTTAACAACTTAATGTCGATCTGGTTTTGGTGACCTGTTTTGTTGCCCCTCCAGTTGTCTTATCTTGCAGTTCCGCGAGCTGTCTTGCGGCACTTCTCCTCCGTAGTTAAGATCGCCGCGGCGGCTTTGGAGCCCGAGCTCGGGTGCGTAAACTCCGGCAGTGGCTAGCAGCCCAGGAAGGGGAAAACAGGGCTTCAAACCGCTGAGTTCCAGTTCGAACCCCTGCTGAGAATTTGCATTTCCACCCCAGATATACTGACTCAGAAGCTACGTTTAAACAAGATCCCCAGGGGATTCTTCTGTACAATAAATTTTGAGAACCACTGCTCTAACAGCGGTTCTCAGAGTTGGTCCCTAACCAGAAGCATTAGCATTGCCTGGAACTTGTTAGAAATGCAAATTCTTAGTAGGGGTTCAAGCCGGCTGGGAGGGGGGGGGGAATAGGGCTAGGACTTAGGGGGCCACCAGCCTGACGTCCGCTCCTTAATCCCCTCAAGAAGGCCTACTTAGTCACCATGTCTTTTTTTTTTTAATTTGACAGATTAGTTTATTTCTTGATTTATTTTTCATTTACAAGGTTCAAAAGAATGTTCAGTGAAGTCTTCTCCCCCCATTCCTCTACAGTTTAAGTATCCCCCTGCAGAGATAGTCCATCTAGCTATAGTCTTTCCACACATTTAGCAGCTCATTAACTGAGGACTCTAGGCAGAAGTCTTCTCAAGCCTTAGAGTTTAGCATCCAGCTTACTCATTTTATAGAAGAAACTGAAGTCCAGTTGTTACCCAAGGCCAGACAGCCCGTTAGTGATGCCAGGTCGTCAAACTCCTAAGACCAAGCCTTTTCCATTGCCTTGCACTGCCTCCCCCAGGCCTGTTCCAGAAAAGCAGCATAAACACTTGGAATTTACTCCCAAAATCCAAACCCGCTGCCGTAGGGCCAATTCCAACTCATAGCGACCGATACGACAGAGTAGAACTGCCCCGTAGAGTTTCCAAGGCTGTAATCTTTATGGAAGCAGATTGCCACATCTTTCTCCTACAGATCAGCTGGTGTGTTCGAACTACTGACCTTTTGGTTAGCAGGTGAGTGCTTTAAACCACTACACCACCAGGGATCCTTTGGAATTTACTAGTCCCTGCCAACCATGTAAGGAGCCCCGGTGTCCCGGTGGTTAAGCTGTTGGCTGCTAACTGAAAAGTTGGCGGTTTGAAAATCAAAGATTACAGCCTTGGAAACCCTATGGGGCTGTTCTACTCTGTCCTATGATGTAGCTGTGAATCGGAATCGACTGGAAAGCAACAGGTGTTTGGAGGTTTTTTTGGCTCATGGTGACCCCATGTGTTACAGAAAAGTACTGCTCCATAGGGTTTTCCTGGCTGTAATCTTTACCACAGATCACCAGGCCTTTCTTCCTCGGTGCCACTGGATGGATTTGAACAGCCAACCTTTAGTTTAGTCAACAATCACAAACTGTTTGCAGCACCCATTGGGTTGCTATGAATCAGAATGGACTCAATGGCAAAGGGTTTGGTTTATTTTTTTATTTTGGCTAACCATGTGAGAACGAATTGCATTCTCAATTTACTAAGCTGTGATTGTATAGAAATGTAGCTGAGTTACTGGAGGGCAGGACTCGTATTTGTTTTAATGATCCATTTAAATGTGCCTGGGGATTTCCCAATGCTAAGTCCCCCAGCAGGTGGTTCAGTGGTAAATTCAATCCCTGGCCAATGCACCTCATGCACAGGCACCACCCACCCATCTGTCAGTGGAGGCTTGCATGTTGCTATGATGCTGAACAGGTTTCAGCAGAGCTTCCAGACTAAGACAGACTAGGAAGAAAGGCTTGGTGATCTACTTCCAAAAAATAAGCCAGTGAAAACCCTATAGATCACAATGGTCCAATTCTGTTGTGCATGGGGTCACCATGAGTCAGGGCCAACTCAACAGCTGCTAACAACAAGGTCTTCTAACAGAATACAGAGTAGCAGACGATGTAGGAGCTATAGCCAGTTCTGTGATAGGATTAAACGATTAATGATATTAGCTAACCTGGATTGATCGCTTACTATGTGCAAGACTGTTCTAAGTGCGCCTGTTAACTTATTTACCCTCACAACACTTCAGAGATAGGTGCTCTTATGGATCGGGAAGCTGAGGTACAGGGGTTAACTTGCCCCAGGTAAGACAGCTAAATAAGCAGGAAAGCCAGGATTCAAACCCAAGCATTCTGACTGCAGAACCCATGCTGTCATGCCTCAAATTACTGAAGGCAAAATCTCAGCAACCAGAGAGAAGAGGGATTTT